AGTGAAGTTGAGAGAAAGTGATGAAACATTAGGAACATAGACAAAAATAAAAGGGGGTAGCTAGTAATATCACATCGGTTGAATAAAAAAATTGGTCAAGGGGATTGCCTTCATTTGTCATTTTGCTAGGCTGTAACTCTGTGCTAAAGATGACACCTCTCAGTGGCGATGCCGACTACACTGCCAGCGAAATTTCTGGGAATATACCAAATTAACGATCCGATGCTGGAAATCATAACGAATGCAATGTTGGATAATGCAGGACTAGATACGTTTCACAAGGTCTTCCTGTTGCCTTAACCAAATAGTGAAAGCGAGGTCAAACCAACATAATACAGCTAAAGTAGCAGGCATCCAAGCAAAAGTCCACGCCAGCTTGGTCTTCATTACTAATATATTCCTTACTAGAACTAAAGTTACTTTCACCTTGTAAATAAACTTATAAATCATAACAACTATTCAGAATAATTGTGAGGCATGCTTACCTCTTGACCTTGTTGCCCACGAGGGCCCTTATTGCCAGGTTCTCCACGGTCTCCGTCCTCCCCTGGAGGGCCTGCATTCCCAGGCCGACCATTCCGGCCATCCTTGCCAGGCGTACCCTTCAGACCATGTGGCCCTTTGGAACCGGGTACACAAGCGTTACATGGCTCACCAATGTCACCTTTTTTATTAAGTATTTCGAAGGAAATGGTGACAACGCCATAAGAAGATGGTAGCAATGAAGTAAGTAGACAGGAAACGAGAAATAAAGGAGCATAAATATGAGCTAGTAAAAGAATCAAAAACGGAGAAGGATTGTGTCTATAGCAAAACCAGACCCTGATTATGCAAATCAGGAAGCATTTGCTGCATGTCATGCTTAATTAAGAGTCAATAATCAAATATTATCTTTAAGCATGAGCTTTTCCTTAAACTCTCAGACTCAGTCTTTTTTGGTTAACTAATAGGCATATACTAAATTTCAAGCCCAAACTTTGATCTTCTAGCAATTTTATAGTAATTTTAATTTCATTTTACCATATATTTTTACCATATCGCGATTTTCATCGCTAAATAATGCAATTAAAATTAATATATTTTTCCATACAATAATAATCAGTTCGTCACAAGTTGCCTAAATCTTGGTCCTTGTATCCATTGTCTTATTTCTGTATATAGAATAAGCCTAGTCACAGTATCTCAGCTGGATTATATTTTATATAGAAGCAAATATTTTCCCTTAAAGCACTCTGCGAGTAGTTCAGGAAATCAGTATCAACCTAAAATCGAAATCTGTAATTCACGAATTATGCTATCTCATCTATGCCCAGTGTCACAAGTAAGCATTAGCTTTTTTAGTTCAGTAAATGGCAACGAAATACTAAATAGTACTATTATTATTTAATAGTAATATAATTCTCAGCATATTAAATGAAGCTTTGGAATGAAATCGCTAACCAAGAGGGAATTTTGTTCATCAAGCTCTATGTCCCCCATGTCAAAAAATTATAGCATTAGTTTGAAGTTTATATTAAGAATTAATTAATAAATATATGAGTATAATTCTTAAAC